CGGGTTGACTGAAAACAGGGTATTGTATTACATCCGTCCTTCTATTTCTTGAGTTTCAGCTTCTTCTTTTTTTCAGATCGAAATTCAATGGTTTTCTGCTCTTTTTTCTTCCATGTTTTGGAAGTTATCGCTGGATTTGATAGAGAAGTGGCTTTCAAACAACGTCCGGGATTCTGCACTTGGGAAACTTGGTTTGAATATTAGCGGAATTTCTGCCTACCAGCCGTTTGATGGATTGTTCGAGCTGAAAGTGGTAATGTATTTTGGCCATGTTTGATTCATCTGATGAGCGTGTTCTAGTCAGTAGCACTGCAGTGGAATGCTATTTAATGTTCTTTTATTTTCTAGCAAAGGGTTTTGGATCTTCAAGTTGTTTCAGTTTCCTAAATCTGGTCTTTCAAGAATACAGATAGTATCTGTCTAACCATGAATTGTTTAATCCTTTCAGGCCATGGCAGGTTACATGTCAGAGGTAATGGGAAGAGCAGTTTCATATAATCCATTGCAAATGGTATTAACTTCTGGGGCAACTCCTGCCATTGAGATGCTTTTCTTTTGCTTAGCTGATCAGGGGGATGCTTTCCTAATTCCAACACCCTATTACCCTGGGTATTCCCTGCTCCTTTTCTAGTCAATTTCATTTTTTTCACTATTCTTATTGAATGTTTGCAACCCTATAAGAAATATATATTGATTGTGCCATTTGTGTGTGAAAATATATATAGCATAAAAGCTGAACAGATTATCATTCTGCAGGTTTGACAGGGATATTAGATATAGAACTGGTGTGGAGTTAATTCCTGTACATTGTCGAAGCTCTGATGACTTTGTGCTGAGCATCACAGCTCTGGAACAAGCATTTAATAATGCCAGAAAGCGTGGCCAAAAAGTCCGAGGAATTCTCATTTCAAACCCTTCCAACCCCGTTGGCAACCTCATGACTAGAGAATTGCTATACGATCTCTTAGATTTTGCCAGGGAGAAAAACATCCATATAATCTCAGATGAAATATTTGCTGGCTCTAATCATGGCAACAAAGAGTTTGTAAGCATGGCAGAAATGATAGAGTCAGAAGATTTTGACAGGGACAGGGTTCATATCATATATGGATTATCCAAAGACCTCAGTCTTCCTGGCTTTAGGGTTGGGGTTATATATTCCTTCAACGAGAATGTTCTGGCTGCTTCTAGAAGGTTAGCCAGGTTTTCATCTGTTTCAGTCCCAACACAGAGGTTGTTAGTTTCAATGCTTACAGACATGGGATTCATTCGGGATTACCAAAAGGAAAACACGCAGAGACTGCGAAGAATGTATGAATTATTTACTGCTGGGTTAAATGAAGTGGGGGTTGAATGCTCGAGGAGCGATGCAGGTTTTTGTTGTTGGGTGAACATGAGTAGGTTAATCAACCCTTACAATGAAAAGGGGGAGATGGAGTTATGGCAAAAACTGTTAAATATGGCTAAGACAAATGTGACTCCCGGGTCTGCCTGCCATTGTATTGAACATGGATGGTTCAGGTTTTGCTTCACAACATTACGCGAGAAGGATATTCCTTTAGTTGCAGAAAGGATAAGGAGAGTAGTTGAAAGCTGTAGACCTCCTGCTTGAAATATTTTAGGGTTTTATGTGAAAATCATATTTTGCATGCATGTTTTTATGTTATATCATTTCTTCTTGTATTTATAATGTAGACAGAATGGGCATTCTTATTATTTGTCAAAAGCTTGATAGTTTCCTTTGCGCAATAGAATCTATTGTGTGTTTCCTAAGTTCTTATTCGATAATATGGAGTATGTTTTGATCTCTGTGTTTCATTTAGGGGCTGTTTGGCAACTTCTGAATAGGTAAGTGCTGAACCAGTAAGAGGTCTGAACCATTAAGTGCTGAACCAGTAAGAGGTCTGAACCATTAAGAGCTAGTATATTGCTTAACTATTCAGAGGCAAATGTCTGATCAATTCAGATAAGTGGTCTTAACCATACAGACTCTGTATAATACTTAACCATTCAGAGGCAAATCTCTTAACCATTAAGAGGCTGAAACAAACAGTCTGAACCATTAAGTGCTGAACCATTCAGACATCTGAACCATTAAGAAGGCTGTAACAAACAGCCCCTTACTCTGCAAGTTAAAAAGAAAGTCGGAAATCAAGGGAAAAAATGACCTAATGGTCGCGGCTCCAGTAGTGGAATTTTTCATAGATAGGAATCCTTAGCAATGCACAGCTAATCAGTTGTCTTTATTGTTCTGTAAACATTGAAAGCTAAGCAAGTTTTAGACTTTTGGGAGAAGTTTTAATTCCCTCTTCCAGTTGGTGTGCAAATCTCCAATGTTTTCCCCCCCTCCAAACATGCAGCATCCGTGAGCACTCTCTATGAATTTCTGCTCCTGTCACAAAAGATGGTAATGACGAAACCAATCCATTATATAATTTATTGGCGACTCCTGCTTGAGATATGATCATCATAAAGCATTTGTATTGGTTTGATTGCCTGTCCTGAATTTTCTAGTGCCAAAACTATGAGATGCATGAAAAATGTAACATTGGATTACCCTAGTCATACTCTGTTTCTGCATTTGCTTAGCTTTTCCAGGGCAGCTTCTTCTTTGGCTCATCATCATCAGCTCTCCCAGTGTTGCTGCTGGCTTTCTTGTGACGAATCCGGAATCACCCACAAACTGTGGTGGAAACGGAAGCAGGAAGCTGGGAAGCGGTGTTCCCGGTTTATCCTCCCAGTCGAAGGGGATCGAAGGTATGAGCTTGATAGTAGGAACAAATTTGAGGGTATTTGAGGGTTTATGATCTCTGGGTTTCCAATCTTTGTTGGGTATGCCAGGTCTTTCTTCCCAGATAAAAGGAACAGAAATTTTCTGCCTTTCTGTTGTCATCTTGGGATGTCAATGGCTCACACTGTATGAAACAAAAATCTTGCATAAATAGGAATGTGTGAACCATAGTGGGTTAGTGGCTTCTGCTTTATGGTTATAAAATTAGGTACTTAAACATGTCCTAGTTTATTAACTGATGAGAATTGGAAATAAATCCAGTCCAAGAAGATTAAAGCAATTCAGAGGAGCTATAAGTGCTCCAGTAACAGTTATGCCTTAATTAATATTGTTAAAAGAAATGTTAGGTTAATGGCCAAAACCCATTAGTCCATTGATCAGTGACTGCATACCCCAAGCAATAGGGCCAACTAAGATCAATGCACCCACACCATTGTGCTCCAAAAGAAAACATTATGTTTATGCTTCTAATCATATTCTTTGCCATGCTTATCTTACCTCGTAAGTTAGATCTCTCATCACCACAACACCACCCCAAGAGACGCCATCCAAGTTAGGCTACACACATCAACACGACAAATAGCAACCGAAATGATTCATTATGTTATAAACATAACGCTTAGGGTGTTCAAGTCGATCGCGAACTAAAAGAATCCATATATAATGCGTATTGCATCAACTGTCGTCATAGAAGGCTATAAACAAAATGTAATGATGTGTATCAAGCAATACTATAAAAGCTCACGCGCGCAAATCAAGTAACAACATAAAAACACCACCTATGTGGCTATGTCCACACAAGTTGGACATTCAAATATTGCGATTATCCGGTATTTGCATGAATGGCATTCACAAAATGCTTCCATGCATGTTAGATTGAATTTGTGGCATTGTACATTTCCTTTCAATGATACTCTGTATTTGATATTGTTTTTAGTGTCTAATCATTATTTTGTGTAATTATGTATTGTATAGAAGAAATTCGGTCATGTTTATGGATGTTGTTGTTGGTACTTGATATAAAGTATAAAAGGAAAATTAGAGTTAATACGGAGTATCTCTAAAGTGTTTTGGATTTTTTTTCTCATTCAAAATAATTACCTTTTCATAAGTTTGAGCCATGCTAAAGGGTCGTCTTGCCTTCCTATCACATCTTGGAACCTCCTCTTGCATTAGCTTCTCAAACACCACCAATGACATCACATTAATGCTCATTGTTTCAGAAATCAAACATAATCTCTCGTCCAACAAAAATTTTCTCGTTCACTATTTACATGGTCAAACTTTATTTGATTTGTTGCCGTATTTTTCGCTACTAATTTGATAAAATAATATAGCCATGCCACTTCTAGTTTTGTAGATCTTTTCATTTAGTTTTGAAATATGTAATTTTTATTTTTTAATTCCATACGATTTTTTATATGAAATGATTTGAAAATAACTTCAATCAAATATTGCAACGCGCAACGAAAACATTATTGTTGGGCGGAGGGAGTAAAATAATTGTCCGTGTCTAATTGTCTTGAGAAATTGATAATGTCAAATTAGAGTTATTCTAAATATACGACCATCAAATTTTGCCAGAATATTACAATAATCTCATGCATGTTCCAACGCTACAACAGAGAATGTGAGAATAAAAAAGTACAAATGTGTGTAAAAATTGATATAAATGTAGTGTTAAAAAAAGAACAATAAATTTTTTTTTTTACCGAATACATGCAAATATGTGTAAAATTAGTTAGATACTCTAAACTAAATTTTTTTCCACACTTCATCCTTATATAATAAAATCTACTTCACATTTGCTTTTAATTTTTTTTAATACAATAACTCTTAAAAATATTATAAATAGATAATTTATTTTTTTAATAACCATGTCAAATCAATGCAACTTATTAGAGAATCAAAGCATAATTAAAACATAACCTTTACATATTACGGAGTAAAAAGTTATATCAAAATCCATACGAAATAAGTATTGACATGATTATATTATTTTATAAAATGAGTTAACAAAAATAGAAAACATAAATAAATAAAATTTGACTCTGTGAATAAATATAAAATTTGAATTTAAATTAAATAAAATTAAATTTGAATAGTTCATATTCTGGCGAGTACGAGTATTTGTGTACAAATAGATTTTTAGTTAAAAAATCATTCATCAATTGCCGTCTACTGCAACAGGGACATTTCCGAGCCATCACTCAGCTTTTTCCGGTCGGCCATCCTCTCCAGGCCCTAAAAATGGAGTTTGCTTAATTGATTGTTAAATGCGGAAACCTGTAAATTCCATTTCAGTCAGATCTTCGCCCTTACAAGCAGTAATTGCCGACATTCCCGTACCATGTACATGCCAATTGCTGCCATTCATCTTCTCCATCGGAATCCTTCTAGATTTTTCATCGCCTTGCTCTGTTCCGTTATTTATATCTCGCTGTATTGGACCCAAACCTGTCCACCTCCAGACGATGGTTACGACCCTATGAATTTTCGCTGAAGTTTCTTAGTGGATCTGTTATGTGGACACTTCCTTTCTCAAATCTTAGAAAGGTAAGATCATTTCAGATCTCTCTGGTTCCTTATTTCTTGTTTTTGTGAGTTCGATCGGAGAGGCTATGATCCGGGCACTAGTTTGTACATTTGGACCCTCCCTCTTCTTCATAGTATTATGGTCTCAATTTCTGCTACATTTGGATGTAGTATATAAAGGCTTTACCTTTACTCTTTTTAGGACTTAGTTAGATAAAGTAATTGATCTATATATGCTTAGATAAATGATGTAGTATTTCTAGAGCAATGGGAAATCCCCAGCAAAAGAAAATGATTCAGATGGATTTTGATAGGATGGCCTCGGCAGCTTCGTCTAGGGACATTGCCACGACCACCTATCCTAAGACATTAACCTCTATTGTGGCATCAGTTGGAGGCCTTGCCGTGTTCTTGTTTCTTGCTTCATTCTTACTTTCCTCGGGGCCTATTGGCTCGGCTGTTCGTGGGTATTACTATGGGGCTGATAACTCAATAAAGGATAGCTTAGTTTCTGGAGCGTGTGTCGACACGCCAAAACAATCAAGTATATTGGGGAGTAACAGGACAGGACTTCGTTCTCAAACGGAGGATGGTGAATTGATGCGAGTTTCTCCAAAATCTATGGAGAATGATAGTGATACCGACGGTCAACGTGATGGCAAGATGGATTCAACTCTTCCTTCATCCTCTTTCATGAACAATACAGGTATTCATTTATGTTAAAGCATCTCACATCAGCAAAATATGAGAATGAAATTTACATATCGGAATATAATGTCTTGGGATATCCCCAATATCATTTTGATTTTTTTAGGATGAATCCGTAAGTCTTTATAAGAGTTTGGTTTTCAGGGCTAATGCAATAATATATTTAAACCAAGTAGGGGTAAGATCTGCATTCACACGCCCTCTCCACACAACCTCTCTAGACCCTACTTTTGTGGGATTCTTCTAGTTTTGTTTGTTGTTATTGTTCGCACTAATACATTTAAACACGGTTCATTTGTGAAATGGTTGCAGAATGTGATCTGTACAATGGGAAATGGGTTTTTGATTTAAGTGGACCATTGTACACAAACAACTCCTGCCCTGTCTTAACACAAACGCAGAATTGCCAGGGGAATGGAAGGCCAGACAAAGACTATGAAAATTGGCGATGGAAGCCTGCTCACTGTGATATCCCTCGTTTCGGGCCGAAGCAATTCTTGGAATTAATGAGAGGAAAGACTATAGCTTTTGTCGGTGATTCTGTTGCCCGCAACCAGATGGAGTCAATGCTGTGTATCCTTTGGCAGGTTAGGGTCAACATGTACTCCCTCTGTGATGCAAAATGCTACTCTAACCCCAAGATGACACCAAAGTTGACACCATCAATCACAATCATGCACATACAATCATTTTATGGGAGAAAGTATTGTCTGGGAAACACAGACGGTGTCAACCTTGGTGTCATCCGTGATGCGACTACAACATGGTCTCTCTATGGTACTGGATTTTTAACTACAGAGTATATCATTTTGTTAACTAAAAAAAGGATAACCATGTCCGAGGTTTATGAATGGCAATAATCAGGCTCTCTATTTTCCTTTCCAGTACGAAACTCCGAAAAACAGAGGGAACAGAAAAATGCAGCGCTACTATTTCAGATCCACATCAACTATGATTGTGCGGATATGGTCGTCCTGGCTGGTAAACCAAACTTCTGAGCCGTTTGATTATGCTCCAGCTGGAGTGGCCAAGCTCTACCTCGATGTTCCCGATCATGTCTTCATGGAACACATTCCAAACTTTGATGTTGTTGTTCTGTCTTCCGGGCACTGGTTTGCAAAACAATCGGTTTACATACTAAACAACGAGATTGTTGGGGGGCAGCTTTGGTGGCCAGACAAATCTAAGCAAATGAAAGTCAACAATATTGATGCCTTTGGGATATCGGTTGAGACCGTTCTCGCTGCCATGGTGACACACCCTAGCTACAGTGGACTCACAATCGTGCGCTCCTTTTCGCCCGACCACTATGAGGGAGGGGCGTGGAATACCGGTGGATCGTGCACTGGGAAGACCAAGCCAGCTGTCGACAGTGAGCTGGCAGAGAATGGGTTTATCAATATAATGCACGAGAAACAGCTGACCAGTTTTTCTCGTGCAATCAAGAGAAAAACCAACAAGTCAAATGTGAGATTTATGGACATCACGAGAGTCTTTGAGTATCGCCATGATGGACACCCGGGCCCATACCGAAGCCTCGATCCTAATAAAATCACAAAAAGAGGGCCCGATGGTAGGCCTCCACCACAGGACTGCCTGCATTGGTGCATGCCAGGCCCGGTTGATACATGGAACGAGATTGTATTGGAGATCATAAGGAGAGAGTTCCAAGGGACACAAAGTAGTACTCCCTAATGAACTTAACCATGAAAGCTTTCAGATCTTCCAAGGGTAATTATTAGTATATTGTTGGGTAATGTTACCGTCACACCACATATGACACCAAGATTGACACCATCAGTGTTGGAACAATGTTATTGTTTCACAAACAATGATGGTCTGTCCGTTATTGTGTATGGTGGTGTCAACCCTGGCGTCATCTTGAAGTTAAAGTAGCAATTTCCATTAATGTTTGGCTTAGGTAATACGGAGTACTATATTGAAAGAAATTTATTTCGAAAGGTAGAGAATGTTGGGACTGCGCGTGCCCTCACCCCAACCCCGCATTAGTATGATATTGTCCGCTCTGGGTCAAACCCTCACGGATTTGTTTTTGGGCACCTCCCAAAAGGCCTCATACTAATGGGGTTGGGTGAACCTATATATTTTGGTTCATTTACTCCTACTCATCCGGTGTGGGACTTTGGAGGAATCCCAACAAACCTCCCCTCATCCAAGGACCACACAACTTCCGGCCTCATACTAATGGGGTTGGGACTGCGCGTGCCCTCACCCCAACCCCGCATTAGTATGATATTGTCCGCTTTGGGTCAAACCCTCACGGATTTGTTTTTGGGCACCTCCCAAAAGGCCTCATACTAATGGGACTTTGGAGGTGTGGGATTTTGGAGGAATCCCAACAAACCTCCCCTCATCCAAGGACCACACAACTTCCGACCTCCCCTCCAGCGGTAAACCCTTTTTTTTCTCTTTATCTGCTAACCATCTTGCACCGCCGCACACTCTTTGCGGGACACGCCGCCCGACTTCTTGTCGGGAAGACTTTCGACGCAAGGCTCGAACTGCAGATCTTTCCTTCACTGGGCTACACCATTTGATCTGCCAAATCATCTTGTACCGCCGTGACTATAACTTCACGGGACGCGCCGCCCGACCTCCTCTCGTCGGGAAGACTTTCGACACAAGACACCACCTGCAGATCCTCTTTCTTAGTCTTGGTCCTAGTTACACCGTCACACCGAGATTTTTTCCACATTGCACAGTCTGCTACTCCCGCCCGCAAGAACCTGGGCTCCGATACCACATGTTGGGACTGCGCGTTCCCTCACCCCAACCCCGCATTAGTATGATATTGTCCGCTTTGGGTCAAACCCTCACGGATTTGTTTTTGGGCACCTCCCAAAAGACCTCATACTAATGGAGTTGGGTGAACCTATATATTTTGGTTCATTTACTCCTACTCATCCGGTGTGGGACTTTGGAGGAATCCCAACAGAGAATGGAATTCTCTCACAGCTTTTCAGAAGATATAAGAGAAAGATTATATGATATATATATATTGTAATTATATTCAGTAATATTTAATTAGATGAAGTGGAGTTTGAGAAAATTAAACCAATACTTAAATATACAGTAATTTTTTAATTATTACAAAGTTAAACTGTTCAAGTGTGTTGCAACTATTTGTCTTGTCTTTTTTCTTCTATTTTTTTTTTAAAAATAGATTATATGCTTGGCTAATACATGCATTTCATTAATTAAATTCATTGCATGTATGGTCCGTTTGGGCCCATAGTTTGGCAATATAGCTATACACTCCCGACATTGTATTTCTTGATCTGTCTTTTCCTTTGAGTTTTTTTTGTTGGGACTGCGCGTGCCCTCACCCCAACCCCGCATTAGTATGATATTGTCCGCTTTGGGACAAGCCCTCACGGATTTGTTTTTGGGCACTTCCCAAAATGCCTCATACTAATGGGGTTGGGTGAACCTATATATTTTGGTTCATTTACTCCTACACATCCGGTGTGGGACTTGGAGGAATCCCAACAAACCTCCCCTCATCCAAGGACCACACAACTTCTGACCTCCCCTCCAGCGGTAATCCTTTTTTTTTCTTTTTCTCTTTATCTGCTAACCATCTTGCACCGCTGCACACTCTTTGCGGGACACGCCGTCCGACCTCTTGTCGGGAAGACTTTCGACACAATGCACCACCTGCAGATCCTCTTTCTTGGTCTTGGTCCTAGTTACACCGTCACACCAAGATTTTTCCACACTGCACTGTCCGCTACTCCCGCCCGCAAGAACCTGGGCTCCGATACCACATGTTGGGACTGCGCGTGCCCTCACCCCAACCCCGCATTAGTATGATATTGTCCGCTTTGGGACAAGCCCTCACGGATTTATTTTTGGGCACTTCTCAAAAGGCCTCATACTAATGGGGTTGGGTGAACCTATATATTTTGGTTCATTTACTCCTACACATCCGGTGTGGGACTTGGAGGAATCCCAACATTTTTGTAGTCCAAACAAGGAGCTAGTTAATACGCCTAATTTTCTTTTAATACATCTGTAATTTCATTGCATTGCATGTTGCGATGCATGCATTGCTTAACTAGCAGTAGCTAATTAAGCTTGAAATTACATCTTATGTGATCCTGCATTGATACACTAGCTATGACATGGTTTTTTGGATCGTCTTAAAGTGGAGTCATGTGGTTGAAATTTTAAAGATGTATTTTGGAGTTTGGATATTTTGCTTTAGTTTTTACCACAAAAAGTTGGAGTTGTCATGGCCTATTTTATGTAACTGAATTTATTTAGATCAGATGAGAATTTTAGTAGACATGGTTAATGTGGTGGGATGTACAAATTAAAGTGTATGCGCATTAGCCATATTTACTATCTACCAGCAACTTTTACAAAAGGATGCATACATTCAAATGTTTAATTTTAAACAATCAGCAAATGCTTCATGATAAGAAGTGACGATTCGCGCAGATAAGCGTGCAGAACTTCCAACTGTTAATATTTAAATATGTTTTAGCCCAAACGTTTGAATGTTACATGATAAGCCACGATGTTTGGTACAACAGATACATCTGTTTGCATTTTGCTCTCTCTATATATGGAGTCAAAATTTCACCATTTTTGGCTTTGGGGTGTGATGGAATAAATCAAAATGGATCTCTAAACTATCTGCGCTTCTTTAATTAATGAAGTAGCAGTTAGTCAAACACTGCAATTTTCGATGTTGAGTCGGGGGTCTCTTTGGAAACAGCCTCTCTACTTTCGAGTAGGGGCAAGGTCTGCGTACACACACCCTCCCGACCCTACTCTTGTGGGATTTAACTGGGTTGTTGTTGTTGTTGTTGTATATATGGAGTCAGAATATGTTTGGCGTATACTGCTTTTGTTCCAAAAAGAGCACATCACATCTCATCGCAGTGCCTTAATGTTAATATGTAATATTAGCCAAAACTTACTACAATGTCAAAGATTAAAAATACATATTAAGAAATACTCCATCCGTCCCATAAAACCTTAGCTTTCTCCTTTCTTTTTTCATCCGTCTCATAAAACACTTCTCATTTCTATTAAAAAGTCACTCTTACCCTTTATTTTTTCATACCCTACCTATCACATCATACCTTTTTACTAATAATCTACCCATCAAATCCTACTTTTACCCATCACATCAAAGGAGATTTTTGGAAATTCAATACCAAAATACATTCCCTTAAATCTCTTCAAAAAGCAAAACATCCCATGTTTCATGGGAGGGAGGGAGTATGACATTTAATAATGTCAAATATGCCTATATATAGTCTCAAAAAGAGAACAAAATACCAAGAATATATCTAATATGTCAACATATTTTTTCAAGTAAAGCTTCAAGCGGTACTTCCAGTAAGCTTCTTCAAGTAAACTTCTTTTTTCAGTGTCAATTACTGACAATTAGAGAGAGGTAAACAGAGACATCACTATTGATTTGTTTTAATTTAAAATTTAATTAATTTAATAATTTTGGTCCTATTTTAGGATAACAACGTGACACTCTTGGAATAATGAATACTGGGTAGTTTTAGTTTTACCAAACGTGTTAACATAGAAAAAACAATAGTGTTGTTTGGTACGTATTTAGCTAGGGTTTGTGTAATTGCGAAACATTAACACAAGATTGTCACTGGTTGCACCAACAATGATCGCTTTTAGATATCATGTCACAAACTATATGTACAAACATTCTCGGTCGTCTTATGATTTATAAATAAATACATGCACAATCTTTTGTTCTTTTCTTTATTTGAAAGTATATCTACTTAGGCCAGTGGTAATACCTCTAACGCCGAGCGGCGTTATAATACTTTTAACGCGTGGGGCATTAAATACCGCCCCCTTTCCCGTTATAGCAGTGCTTTTTTTGCAGCGTCAAACTTTTGACGCAAATTGTAGGCCAAAATTTGGACGTTGGAGCCCCCCGCCCCCCGCCCCCACCCCCTTTCCCGTTATCGCACCGTGTACTTTTTTATTCAATTAATATAATTTTTTTTATTAATGAATGTAATTTTTTTATTTAATGAATGTAATTTTTTTAATAAATGAATGTAATTTTTTAATGAACGAATGTAATTTTTTTAATTAATGAATTTAATTATTTAATGAAAGAATGTAATTTTTTTAAATTAATGAATGCATTTGTTGTTCATGAATGTAATTTTTTAATGGATAAAATTAAATAATTAAATTTTATTAATTTAATTTTAGAAGATGTGTATTTAAAATGTAAAAAATGAAAGTTTGAAGCCCCAGTTTGAAGCTCTGGGGCTTCAAACCCATTTCTAATGAATTGGTGAGGTGAGTTAAAGTTTGAAGAACCCATTTCCAGAGAGAGAAAGTTTGAAACCCCAGTTTGAAGCCCTAAGGCTTCAAAACCATTTCCAGTGCTCTTAATACGAAGTATGGTGTTAGATTATAATCTCGATCATCTTATACTCACCAATATGGATTTTGATTTTTAAGGAATTTAAGGGGGTCTAATTTGGTGTAGGCTTTTTAAAAATATCTTTGGATGTGATGAGTAAAATTAAAAGTACAATTTGATAGGTGGATTAATATTCTCTCCGTCCCAGAAAACACTTCCCATTTGACTTTATTCTGTCAAATTGTGATACGTTTTGACTACAAATTGTGAGAAAAATATATTGAATTATAATATAAATTTAATATAATTGGATTCATCTTAGGATATAGTTTTGATATATCAATATTTTAATAACATTTCTTTATTTAGATTATGTCTAATTTATGGTCAAAGAGTGTCACTGTTTGACCAGAAAAATCAAAACGGAAAATGTTTTCTGGAAGTGAGGGAGTATATAATGAATGTACGTGATGTGATAGATAAATCAAGAATTAGTAGGAATAAAAATGACTTTTTAATAGAAATGATAAAAAATTTTCAGGACGGGTGAAAAAAGAAAGGAGAATATGCTTAAT